ATAAACAACATACCAACAATAATCAAAAATGGTGGGTGGGGAATTCATGTTTTTAATGCACAGGTTTCTTGTTTCTGCGTTTTCTTTGAGCTTAATTAACTTTTGTTGTATGTAACAGTATGCATTAAAAATCTGTTCACATGTCGATATTTCCATCGATATGTTCATATAACTATGAGTTTGACATCGACATGAGAATGATAAATTAACATTTTTATCATAATACAAAAAAAAAATCAAAATATCTATCGACGTTGAATATTTCTATCGATATTTTCATAAAATTGAAATATCGACATTTTAATCGACGTCAACATTTAAATCTTGTGTTGAAGAGATATATTGTTGACCGTTGCAGTGGCTGTTTGTTACGGAATTTGTTGGCTATGGGGCTGCGCTGCACCTGCACCTTGATTTTTGGAGCGACAAAAGAATAAAATTCCATGTATTGAGTGGGGAGGTGATGGAATTTTGTGAGTTGAATATACATAAAAAAAAATGCAGAGAAAAAGTATATGGGGTTTGCTGGTTTTCCCAACAACATTCGTCCGTGGTACTCGGCAATCTTCTCCTTCCTTGCTTCCCCCTCATTCAATTTTCTCATTCTTTAACCATGCCATTTTGACTCTACACATAACACAAGATTTACACCCTCTCCTATCAAACTCTTCTTCCTTATACTATGGTACATTTTTCGATATCTTTCAAATTGCAATCACCAATTCAATTATATATAACTCAAGTGGTTAGACATTGTTCTCACAATGACCGGTAGGTTTGAATCTCTAGAAAAATAAATAGTACAACGTTTAGGAGATGACTATGTTTTGATAGATGGTATATGTCTGAATTAATTATCAAAATAATAGGTATGTGCATAGCTCGCAATTGGACAAAATATTACTGATTAACCTCCCTTAAAAATTATATAAGATTGATCTTCATCTTTTGTTTGGAACTTTGAATGGTAATATTCTAAATATGTATATAGTTAATTATGTGCGTCATTGGGATATGTTACAAAGAGTATAGAAAGTACATAAAATCCTATGAAACCCTTAAGAAGAGAAAAGGTAAAATTTTAAAAATAATAATAATAAACAGAAACTTGTTTTGTAAAAAACACATTTAATTTGTTTTTAAAGTTGGATGATTTCCTTTCCAAAAACAATTATCTAAAAGCAGAACATTTATCAACATAACTTTTTCTTTTCTTTTTTTCCAAACAGCACCTAATTAGATCTTTTATATCTTGATTTTTAAGTCTTTGGTAAGCCTAACTTGTCTCCAACCCAATTTCATTTCCCTCTCTCCCTATATATATACGTATCTTAAGAGCCTTTCCACTTCATATATATAAGATTTAAATCCTTGCTTATAACTTCATAAATTTGCACCACTTTCCTCCTCCGCACTTCATTTTTTAGAGTTTTTTAGAGCTCAAAGAAATGCCGGAGGCTTCAAACAACTTGCCCCCCGAACCTGATAGCCTAATTGGTAGTTCCCATGAGAAACATGAACGGGCATTGCAGTATATTGAACAAGTTACAGCTCATGCCGATCAAGTTCAACGTCGAGTTCTTACTGAAATTCTCTCCGCAAATGCCCATGTTGAGTACCTACGCCATGGCCTCGACGGATATATGGATACGAAGACGTTCAAGAAGACGATGCCCGTTGTCTCTTACGATGACATAAAACCATACGTCGATCGAATTGCGAATGGCGATCCATCTCCAATACTATGTTCAAAACCCATATCGGAGTTCTTAACCAGGTGAGTATATAATAATTAATCCATTATAGTTTTCATGTTAAACAACATGAATAAATAATTTTTTTGGATATGGTTTTACAACAAGAAGCCCTATATTCACTCTCAAGCACGTACAGAAAATTCTACCTTCTAACTTTTCAAATACATGATCTAATGTAGGGAAAAAACTATTAAAGTTATACTTTTGTATATAATTTTTTAAACTAAGACGAACTAAGAGGGCAATTGCCTCTCCTCCTTTTTCCACTCCGTCTCAGCAAATTCTTATATATCATTTCTTTCTCAATTAATATTGATAGTCAACTTGATTATATTTGTTCGTTTGTAGTTCGGGAACTTCAGGGGGAGAGAGAAAGCTAATGCCAACAACAGAAGAAGAGCTGGAGAGAAAATCATTGCTTTATTCCCTTCTGATGCCTGTGATGAACCAGTTCATTCCAGGATTGGACAAGGGCAAAGGAATGTACTTTTTATTCGTAAAATCTGAGTCCACAACTCCTGGAGGGCTACTTGCACGTCCAGTTCTCACCAGCTACTACAGAAGCCCACACTTTAAGGACCGCCCCTATGATCCCTACAACCAATACACCAGCCCTAATGAAACAATTCTTTGCACAGATTCATACCAGAGCATGTACTCCCAGTTTCTATGTGGGCTGTGCCTCAGCAGGGAAGTTCTCCGAGTTGGTGCTGTTTTTGCTTCTGGGTTCATTCGTGCCATCAAATTCCTTGAAACTCATTGGCTCCTTTTGTCTAATGATATCAGAACAGGAACCATAAACCCTAGAATCACTGACCCATTAGTGAGACAATCTGTCTTGAACATTCTGAAACCTGACCCTGAGCTTGCGGATCTGATTGAATCTGAGTGCAGTAAAGGGACGTGGGAAGGCATCATAAGTAGGCTGTGGCGGAATACCAAGTATATTGATGTTATTGTGACGGGTACCATGTCACAGTACATCCCAACTTTGGATTACTATAGTAATGGCCTTCCCCTTGTTTGTACTATGTATGCTTCTTCCGAGTGCTACTTTGGCATCAATTTAAATCCCTTGTGTAACCCAAGTGAGGTCTCTTACACCCTCATTCCCACCATGGCGTATTTTGAATTTTTGCCTCTTGATGGGACAAATGGATTTGGCTACTCCAGTACTTGTCAATCAGAGGCCAATCAGAAAACAGACCAAGAGCTGGTTGATCTGGTGGATGTCCAATTAGGAAAAGAATATGAGCTGGTTATCACCACTTATGCAGGTGGGTTTTTAAGTTATAAGTAGTTTTTTTTTTCTAGTTATGCTCGGCTTCTCACAATTTCTTCGTTAAAAACATATTTATTTTACAGGGCTGTATCGATATCGAGTCGGGGACATTCTTCGAGTATCGGGATTCAAGAACAACGCCCCACAGTTCAACTTCGTATGCAGGAAGAATGTGATTCTCAGTATTGATTCGGACAAAGTTGACGAAGTGGAGCTTCAAAACGCAGTAATGGAAGCCTCTAAGAACTTAATTCCATATGGGGCTTGTGTGGTCGAGTACACGAGCTACGCTGACACTGTCACAATTCCAGGCCACTATGTCATCTATTGGGAGATCAGCCTAAAGGAAGCAACCGCCAATAATAATAATGTTATTCCTGGTTCGGTATTTGAAAAATGTTGTCTTTCGATGGAGGAATCACTCAACAGCGTGTACCGCCAAGGAAGAGTCTCAGATAAATCCATTGGTCCTTTAGAGATGAAGATTGTGGAGACAGGGACGTTCGATAAACTCATGGACTATGCCCTCAATCATGGTGCTTCCATAAACCAATACAAGACACCTCGCTGTGTGAAACATGCACCAATTCTCGAGCTTTTGAACTCGTACGTTGTGGACAATTATTTCAGCCCAAAATGTCCCCACTGGGTTCCTGGTCGTAAAGAATGGTCCACCAACAACAGTTAAAAAAAAAAAAAAAAGTGTCCACGATTCGGGTTATTGTGTGTGTTTGTGTTTACGTGTGCATTATGTCAAAAACAAAAACAAAAAAGAAAAGGAATAAAATTGTGTTTACTAAAAGGAAGATCATTAACTGTTGTTAGAGTGTCAATGAAATTGGATTTTAACATTAGAAGAAGCCCGAGAAAATGCCATTATCTGAGACTTAATTTGCTGTCGTCTAAGGGAGTCTCTGTAATTGGAGTTGCGTGTCCAAAGGGTGAGTTCTTGCAGTGCATTCCCATGCTTGAGCAAAAATTGGGTGAGGCTTACTTCATTCACGCACTCCATGAACCCATGGATTCTCACAATCTTAAGATGGAGAAGAAAGGATTTAAGAGGCTCGATTTGAGTGTCCCAGAATTGTTCTTCCTCCGAAACAATTTTTTCCCACATGTCTCTACGCCAATCCTTAAACAAAAGAGTAAGATAAAATAATCTCAGAAGAGAGAGAGGCGTAATTGATCGATTAACCAACACCAATATTTTTAATTTATATTACTTGATTAACTACCTTCCTGCCAATTTTGCTACCGTTGATTATCTTGATTGTGAGAGTTTGCAGAATTGGACAACTCCTGAATATATTGGCCAGTCCGGGCCCATTGTGCTTTCTCAAGGCAGTCTGCAACTCCAAGGATTTAATGTTGTTGAATGGAGGCAAATAACACGCAAAGTAATTATTGCTGGATAGAACCTGAAAGAAATACAAAAATGAATATATATATTTCAGTAACAAATAACTGAAGTGACATGTGGAATTGGAATATTGAAACTTACATCGATGCATTGACTTTCGAGCGTCAATGAGTTGGCGCGAGAAATTCCCAAGAGAAGAGCAGAGACGCTCTGAAGCTTGTTGATGTGGACGTGCTCGCGAAGCAGACCAACGGAGGCTTGCTGAAGAGAGGTGAGATCGTGGAAATTGACCTCATCGGTGATGGCATTGTAGGTCCAGACG